TAACTCCTCAGCATGTTTTCTCTTTGAGGTTACTCTTTTTGTGATATTTAATTTTTCCTTTAAGCTCAAAGCAGATATAATTCTGGATTTGATAGCCCCGATTCTAAAATTTTGAGGCTATGGACATCTCTGATTTAATCTTGATTCTGAGCCTAGTGGTAATGTAGTCTGCATATAAAGGGTCACTTTAAATATAGTTTTAAAAATGTTTATTTTTGTCTTCATTTAAAACAATACTTTTTGTGGGGCTAAATGTAATTAAGGGGGATATACAGTTTAAGCTAATGGTGTTTATCTAGATAAAAAGGCAGATCCAGATAACTGTTAGTCTGGAATGTATGTAGCTCAGTGGTGCCGCACCTGCCTCACAAGCACAAGGACCTGAGTTCGATCCCCAATACCATGGGGAGGAGAGAAGACCCAAACAAAACAAACAAAAAACCACACAGATAACTGTTAGTCATGATTTTTAGCCACAACAGATTTTTTTTTCCTCATCTCATCACAGTATCTTTAATGGCCTGAAAAAACCATCACAGTAACTTAAGTCTTACAATGAAAATAATTTTCCTAAAAAATAATTTTCTGGGCACTAATAAACATAGTTATATTATATGCTTAGTTAATACTCATTGAAAGGAAAGACAACTAGATATTAGATGTTTGATCACTGTTATCAAATTCATGTATAAGACAGATTTTATGTAAACTATTATTTTAAGATCATTTGTTAAGACAGTTTAAATTTTCATTGTATTAGTATTTTTATTTTAATTTAATTTAATTTTTTTGGTACTGGGGATCAAACTTGGGTCCTTGTGCTGCGCAGCAGGCAGCGAAACCACTCAGCTAAATCCCCGGCCCTGTATTAGTATTTTTAACTGCCTAGATATTTAATAGGCCACTTCTTATCCCAGTATCCTCATTCTACTCTACAGAAGGATTTGCCTTAACTGCTTTCTGTTACTTTAACTTCAATTCTCATTTATATGCTATATGTAAACTTAATCTTACACAATATGAGAGAAAAATACTGGAGAGTAAATAATCTCTAATATATAAATACATGTATATAAATATATGTGAGTATATACATAGACACAGACACATGCATCTCTAGGGAAGCATTTATGGAACCCCACAATTGCCAAAACTCATAAACTTGCTCTAATTTGGCTCAGGTCTCTTGTTTCTCAAAAAAAATTAATGTTCCATCTGTATTATTTTAGTTCAATGGGAAGAATCTATGATTTTAAGATATTAATTATAGGTTTTTAAATATTCATAAACATAATACATGTGAATTGGATCAGCAATCAGTATGTACTTCCCAAGAACATAATCGGTGATTTAAGAGATGGATGTGATTACAACTGAGTTGTCCTTCATTTTATAAAAAGGATGCTAAATACTCTTCTTTCATAATTCAGAGGAATAGGGAAGAATAGAAATTTGCCATGTCAGCAGCAAATTATTTTATATTTTTTAAGGCTTCTGAGAATATTTTCATTATAAAACTCTAGAACTTTATTGTGTTAAAATTGGACAATAAAGAACACACTTTCAAAAATTTCAATGAAAGAAACGTACCAATTATTTAAATATTCTTTGTAAGCCAGCCACACAGTGGCATATGTCTGTAATCCTAGCACTTTGGGGAGGTTGAGGCAGCAGAATCACAAGCTCAAGCCCAGCCTGGACAACACAGTAAGACCATGTCTCAAAATAAGTTTTTAAAAGGGCAGGGCATGTCGCTCAGTGCAAAAGCCCTGGGTTCAATCTCTAGTACTGACGTGAGCAGAGTGCAGGGGAGAAAAGCTATAAACATGGGATGAAAGAATAACAGATGTATTAAGAATAGCCTCCTTCATATAAAAGGTTTGATGAATAAGACATTCAAATGACTATAAAAGAATAAACCTGCCAGACATGGTGGCATATACTTGTATTCGCAGCACTTGGGAGGCTGAGGCAGGAGGATCACCATGAATTCAAGGTGAGCCTGGGCTAGTGAGTTAAAGGCCAGCCTAAACTGCATAGCGAGACCCTGTCTTAAAAAAACAAAAACAACCCTCTCCCCAAATTGAAAACAAGTAAAAGAATAAGCTCAAAAGCTTCTTTCTAAACCAGGCTGAATAACCTGAGAAATTTACATTTTGACTGGGCTACAGGAAAGAGTGTACCTTTATCGAAACCCTTTTTAACTTATAAAACAAAAATAAAAAACATGATAAAATAATTTTCATGGATTCTGCTATCTCATTTTATTGTGTTCAGGATATTCTTTCACCCTACTTTAGAATACCACATAGCCTTCAATGTTAAGTATAAAGCTACATCAGTTAGATGGCCATCTCTAGGCAAAAACATTCCTTTATGATATGATAAAAAGTCAGCTGGGTATCATGGCACACACCTGTAATCCCAGCAGTTGAGGCTGAGGCATGAGTTATCATTCTAAGTTCGAGGTCAGCCTGGGGTACATAGTGACTTCAAAGCCAGCCTGAATTACATAGCAAGACCCTGTCTCAAAAAAAAAAGCCAAATTATTCTTCCACCCAGTTTAATGAACAGACAACAAAAGGCATTTTATAATATTATTATTATTTTGCCCTTAGCAAAAAGCAAGAGGCCAAGCGCTTTCTGCTTACTTTAGGATCAAAGATATTCTTATCCACATGGCTATAAATTAGCTAGGTTTCTACTAGCTGTGGGCTGTGGATTCATTTTCAGACCAATCAACCTCACATTTCCAAACCCTGCATAATTGTAACATTCCTGGAATATGAGGTCTGAACAGCTATGTGAGATTAAATGTAAAAAGTTAAGAAAAATTTTTAAAAATTTACATTTTTGGTAAGATGATTCTTACATGGGGATAAAGATTTTAAAGTTTAAAACATGGTGTTATCATTAAAATAATAGATGAATGCTTGAATGGGAGCTGTAGACACTCAAAAATATTTTAAATCTTAAGACTAAACCAAACTGTTACCAAAAAGATGTGAGCAAAGTGGCTCAAATAAAACCTGTCTTTCCTTCAATCTAACATCCTTCATTCAGCAACTCTCTACTATGCACAGCATGGATTTTCATTTCTTTGAAAGAATTAATGAAATAGAATGTTGTTTCTGACTGAATAACATTTAGCTTAATTTTGTACAACTGAGGTTTTTTTTTTTTTTTTTTTTTTTTTGGTACCGGGGATGGAACTTGGGACCTTGCACTTGCGAGGCAGGCAGTGGCACCACTGAGCTAAATCCCCAGCCCTGAGGTTTTATTATATTAACAAAATAATAGAAATTGAAGAAGAAAATCAAAGACTATAATATTATGCTTATTATAATCTAACCATTAAACTAATTTTTCCAGGCTAAGGGTATCTAATAGAAATAATTCTTTATTGATACATTTTGAAACATGGGTCTTTTATTTGGAGATTTCTTTTAGTACTGTATTATAACATAATTGGACAAATGGTAAAAAGTGTGATTCAATTTTTTAAAGTTCTTGTAAAGTATGTACAAATGAATTATTCTCATTTCATATATAAAAAACTGTATTTACTAGATTCTTTCCCTACTAACTTCTTAAATGCACATTGTGGAACATAAATATTAATGTTCTTATTTAATTTCAATTTTTTTTTTCCAGTATTAGGGAGCAAGCTCAGAACCTTGTGCTTGCCAGGCAGGTGTGGCACCACTGAGCTATATCCCTAGCTCCCATTCTTATCTATTGACTTTGACTTTCCTGTCCTGGTCAGAAGGAGAACAGAACATCAGCTTTTCTGTATGGGAACCAGGGGGTGTGGTGACAGCTTATCTCACTGGAGGCAGTGACAGTGCACTCACTCTGCTCCCCACACCAGAAGCAGGTCCACTGTACAGGCTCAGTATGGCTTCAGGAGCTACTGAATGCCAGGAGTGCACAAAAATACATGGAAGTACTGTTCACATCTACACCAAGCTCCTGATGTCTCTGAACTTCTAGATAGAGCATGGATCATCACAAACTCCTTGAGAAATTATTAATCATTACTGAAGAAATACAAATGTAATAAAACCTTTCCAAATCTGGACAGGGAAAAGTTGCCACTGTCACAGTTAAGTTTTATTTTTAGCTTCCTTTCTCTTGGTGCCGGGGATCAAACCTAGCACGTTGTACACAGTAGGCAAGCGCTCCACCAGTGGGCTACATTCCTATCCCATCTTGTTCTTGGGTTTCTTTTTTTTCTTTTTCTTTTTTTGTGGAACTCAGGACCTTGCGCTTGCCAGGCAGGTCGGGCGCCACTGAGCTACATCCCTGGCCCTGTTCTTGGGTTTCTGACACCCAAAATATATTGATGCTACTTCTAATAAAAGTTTGTTTTGTTTTTAAACATGATAAAATGTTTAGAAATATAATTTCTTCAATATAATGAAAATAATACACCAAACTTTAAGGGTATACAGTGTAAAGGTTGTAGATGCTAGTTATAGCAGACAACACATGCTGAAGAAAATCCAAAGTAAAACTTCCTTCTAAAAAGTTTGACAACTTTCAACCCCTTTTGTAAAGAATGTATGGAGGGCCGGGGACTTAGCTCAGTGATGCGGCGCCTGCCTTGCAAGCGCAAGGTCCTGAGTTCAATCCCTGGTACTGCAAAAAAAAAAAAAAAAATTGGGGCAGGGATTTAGCTCAGTGGTTCCATCGCTTGCCTTGCAAGCACAAGGTCCCAAGTTCGATCCCCAGTACCAAAAAAAAAAAAAAAAAGAATGTGTGTGTAGGAGTTCAGGAATGGGCAGTAGTTCAGAATTAAAATGTAAGCCCCTCACTTTATAGACATAATTCATTTAATGAGTAGTTCAGAGTCTCTTGTTTTCATCTACTTTACTCTGTGGACATAATTTCTCCATAATTTAAGTTTTACCAAGATTAGTGTTCACATCTCAATTTGCTTTGAAAATGACTGAATCTTTATGCCATTTGTGAAATAAAGGTTGGGGGTCAGAGCCTTCTTACATTTAAAAAAAATCTTTTATTGTCAAAACTTGATACATTAGCCAGGGAGGTGATACATGCCTGTAATTCCAGATACTCAGGAAGCTGAAGCAGGAGGATAGCTTGAGGCCAGCCTGAGCAATATAGGGAGACTGTCAAGACAGACAGACAGGCAGACAGACAGGCAGGCAGACAGGCAGGCAGGTAGGCAGGCAGGCAGGCAGATAGGTTGACTGAGTCTACTTTGCCAAAAACCCCACAATGATTCTACTCACTTGGCTTTATTATTACTAATTCTTGCTGCATTATACTCTTAGTGGGCAGAAGTACTCATACTGTCCTCAGACTTTCGCATTAATGTAAAAAACTGCACAGTTCATGGTGTCATTTCTGTGTGTATTCTAATACCTTTCTTCAAGGATGATTTCTGAGAATAAATAAAAACACTACACTTTTAAGTCAACTTACAAAAAAGGAAATAGGATTTAAAAATCAAACATATATAGTTTCTGAACCACTGAGCTTGGTTTAAATTACTTATTTGTAATTTATTTTTGTTTTTTGTTGGTACTGGGGATTGAACTCATGACCTTGGGCTTGTGAGGCAGGCACCATGCCACTGAGCAAAATCCCCAGCCCTTACTTATTTGGAATTTAATACACAGTACTAAATGAAACCCAATTTCCAAATAGCAAGTACATGAAATAACATCATCCTATTAGGTGACCTATGTAAAAACAAACAAAAAACTGACCTAATTTCAGGATTGTTTTGCTTTTAAGAAACATGCTATGGTATAAGAAAAAATCTGGATGGGCACTTAAATATAATTTGGGACCAAATAACTTACACAAGTCAATATGGAAAAAGTTGGACCGAAGGCATTTCATCTTCAAGTGAATGAGATCTCACATTTACATAGCACCTTATATAGAGAAAGTGCTTTACAAAGATTTCACTTGATCTTAGCCAAAAGGCCGAGAAGCAATTTTACAAAGATTTCTTGACAGTCATTCTTCAATGTAAATAAATGGTCTATAAGCACTTTGAGGCAAGAAAATACCCAAGAAAATCTATTGAGAAACAAATTCTTGGACTAGTAGATATAACTAAGAAAAACTATTAAGAGATCTGTCATAATATTACATATAGAAGTCATTTATGATCTTAATGGCTGATATGAAAATGTTTAGTAGGAAATACTGAGAAATGGAAAGGTTTAAATGAAGGAATAAGTAAAACAAATGAGGCACAAGTCAACAAACTGTCCAACAGATAAGGCTTCCCATAACCGTAAGTATATGAAAAATAAATCTTTCAGTTGTGAAGAACAGTTGAAAAGTATAAATGTAAAGCACATGGCTAGAATCTGATCCTCAGATACTAAGATATTCTAAAGCAAGGAAAAAAATTAATGTACTACCTGACTTCTTTCTTCTAAAATTTCTCCCCAAATAACATCACCAATATATTTACTTCTGCCATAAAACAGAATAGCATAAAATAATAAAATTTCACATATTTATGTTTTCAAAATTTTCTCCAAATCTTAGGACAATTTAGTTTCCTGTAAATAATTACTCATTTTTTCCCTCTAAATAATTCTGCCAAGGTGCTTTAGGTAAGATTTAATTAGCACCTCTGCCAATGTATTTAAGTCTTTGCAAAAAGTGCACTTGCCAACCATTCTGTGTAGTAAATATGTAAGTTATTTCAAATGCATTTGGAAAACAACTGAAAACACAGATTAATACATTATAAAAAGATTAATTCCCTTTAAACAAAGACATTCTTATAAAGCAGAGTAACACATAAGCACAATACAGAATATAAATTGTATATCAATTATTGGCAGAAAATCTAATTCCATACAAAGCCTACACCATTGAGGAAGAGGACATTTCCATACAAAGAAAAGTATTACACTATTATACAACACTTTTAATTGGACATTTACAAATTTTTGGCACATTAAAAGAACTAAAAAGTCTACAAATAAAGGACAAAGAACCTAAAACAAAGATACAAGAGAGAAAAAGTCCTCAAATGTGAAACACTAAATATTAAAATAGAAGAGAAACAAAAAATAAGCTGGCTGAATTTCCCAAAATGTTGTTATATGTAACACAAGTATGCTTCAATGAAGGGTTTTTTTTTTATTTCTAATGGTAAGACTTCTCTACCTTGCTGTAGCTGGTTGAACATGGGCTGGATAAGATCTTCTTGTGCTGGTTGCTTGTCTTTGCCTAGCTAGAAATGACTGCCCTGAACCAGTGCTAGCTAGTCTATCTTCAGCTGCTTTTTTATGCAGAGTCATTCCCTGTAACATTAAAAAAAAAAAAGGAATCAATGAAAAAAGTGGAACATATTCTCACCAAAGAAAAATTTCATTATGCAGAATTTGTTACACTATATAGTAAAACAGTTTAGGAATATTAATTGTATTACAGATTAAGATTTTGTAGTGGGATTTAGTTTCGACAATTAAGTACCAATCTTTTGGAGAAATTAAGGCTTAATTTTCTGAATTTACAATAGATAAGGGAAAGATTTTTGGAATATGTTACCCATACTTTCCATTCAAATTAAATGTATAAAATTTGATTTTCTAAGAAAAAAAAAGTGTAACTGATTGGTAGTAGATGATTAACAGGTTTTGGAAATACAGGGCTTATTTTGAAAAACACCAATGCACTTATTTCTTATCCTGAAAAGTCACATTGGGTATTATACATACCACCATGCTGTTTTCTTCACTTCAAGACAGACTTGGATTCTCAAATAAATTAAGAGAAGTTCCTAACAGACTACCATAGAGGGTCCAACCAAGAGCAAAGGGGTCTCTCCTGAAAACATAAGGACTGCCTACTACTGCCTTAAAGGCGAGAAATGGCCAAAACACTGTCACAGGAGTGGGAGATGTCAGGGTGTTCCCAGGTGGAAGAATGACAACAACAATAGCACTACTTTATAAAGGCAGAAGTCTAGGAGAAGATCAGGCAAAGAGCAGTTTGGGTATTATTTTAATAAACCAATGCAGAACCCAGAGACACTTTTAAGAATTGAGAGGTGCTGTTTAGGCTGGACACAGGTAACCTGTTAGGAAAAAATGAAGGATGACATCCAGGAAGAAACAACAATGCACAAAAGACTAGAAGTTTGTTTTCTGTCTGTCTTTTTCTCCTTCTTTCCTTTCTTTTTTTAAAAAAATTTTTTGGTTTCTTGAGACAGGTTTTCACTATGTAGTTCAGGCTGGCCTTGAACTCACTGTGTAGCCCAGGCTGATCTTGAACTTCCAGTGAGCCTCCTGCCTCAACCTCCCAAATATTGGGGATTATAGGCACGTGTCACCATGCCAGGCTAGAGGTAAGTTTTTTTTTTATCACTCGTTAGTTCTAGGAAGATACTGGTCCTGGCTTTGCATTTTTAATACAATTTCAGTGTACCATATATCAACAGATATAACAATTTTCCAGAAAAACATTTTAAAGTCAGTTTGAAATCAAATAATTTAAAGATCTGAATAAAATCAAATATCTATTGATAATCTTTAATTATCACATCAACACACCCAACAGACACAACAGAGTGAAGAGACAATGTACAGAATGAGAAAAAACTTTTGCCAACTAACATCTAGAGACTATATTAAAAAAAAACTAAAAAAATTAGAGTTTCCCAAAATAAAACACCCAGTCAAAAAATTAGCAACTACTGGGGATTTAGCTCAGTGGTGCTGCATCAAGGTCTTGAGTTTGATCCCTGGTATCCCCCCAACCCGCCCCCCAAAAACCAAAACCAAACAAACATAAAAGGCAACTGAAATGAATGGACACTTCTCAGAAGCAGTAGAAATGGCCAATAAATACATGAAAAAATGTTCAACATTTGAGGATGGGGGAAAAAGGAACTCTTCTACATGTCGGTAGGAACGTAAACTAGAACCACCACTATGGAAATCAGTATGCAGATTCTGCGAAAAAACAAAATTAGAAATCCCATTTGATCCAGCTCTTCCTCTTCTAGTTATCTTCCCAAAAGAGTTAGTTATATTATGGATAAAGGAAATGTGATATTTATACACAATGAAGTACTACTCTGGCATAAAGATAAACTTGAGGCATTCATAGGCAAAAGGATTCAACTTGAGAACATAATGTTAAGTAAGACACACAAGTTTAAATATTGTATGGCTTCTCTTATATGAGAAACTCAAAAAATAAATAATAGCAAAATAGATAAATAAGAAGTAGAAGCTCAAAATAATTCCCCAAATTATCTATTGTTTCAAAAATATTTTAATATATATGCTAATTTATTTCACTTATACTACTAGTTTGTTAGTTCACTGAAAAGAAAGTTTTGTGCTATTATCTTTGTTTCTTCTTTGTAAAAAAGAATCTTTTTTGTCTATAACTTGTTTTTTGAGCAACATTTTGGCAATTCTTTTACAATCGTGACAGTGTATTAACTACTGCTATTCTCTATTTTGTTATGAAATTGTCTTTTTATAGAAGAGTGCCTTTTGTATTTATGAATCTCTTTGTATTACAATAAAACAAACTATTTCAGCTACCTATGTTGAAATTATTATCTTATTTAAAATATCATCATATTTTCACTTATATACTTGCAGCAACTTCTTCAAATTCTTCACGCTTTCTTTTTTTTTTTGGTACTAGGGATCCAACTCAGTTCCTTGCACTTGCAAGGCAGGTGGCAGAACCACTAAGCTAAAACCCTGGCCCTCTTCACACTTTTAAGACCACCATATCCATCACAAAGTTTCTCTGAGCTACTTAATACCTTTTCTCAGCACTCACATCTCCATTTCCATAAAAGTTGTCTGAGATGCAGGGCTTTCTGAATGTAAGCAAGATGCAGTTACTGGTTATCTAATCTCAATGTAATTTGTATAAATCTATTTACTTTCTGAAGAGTTAAAAATTAGGACAATTCTTTAGTACCATGTAACAGAATGAATCTGGTTCCATAAGAAACAATATGTAAAACCCTACAAATTTAAGAATACAAGATTACTAATGAGGATTGAGGCATAGACCTACAAGAATGAAATTACTAAATTTAACAGAGGACAAAGAAAAGTAAAAGTCAGGATTAATTCCTAGAGAACTTCATTAAATGTGTGGTTTTGTTCTAGGTTTAGATTTTTAAGATATCCAAATCTGTTATTAATATTCTAAATCCAAAATTATTTCTTTTCTAAAAAAAGTTGTGATAAAATCTTAAGTCTTGACCAAGACAAATAAATGCTGATATGTTGTAAAATTTGTGAATTTTTAGCAAAGATCAAATCTTACTATTAGGTCAGGGACACTAACCTTTAAGAGGCAGTAGCAATTATAACTGAAAAACAAAAACAATGGTTTTATGGCAACAGAGCTACAGGGGCCAGAAGAGGATGTTGAAAGGAATCTGGTTTAATTATCTGTTCAAGACAAAGAAGCTGTTTCACTGGGAAGAACAAAAAGAAAAGGAAGACAAAATGTCTGGGAAGAAATACTGAAAAAGTGCTACATTTTGAAAAGTTACAGTTGTTTATACCCAGACCAGAATGCTGATGACCATTCAGTTTTCCCTGAAGTATATTATTTACAGTTTTGTGTTGAACATTCAACTTCAAAGCCTCTAGTGGGTCAAGGTCTGGGCCCGTGAACATGCTCTAATCCTGAGAGATTGTTAAACTGTCCTGCTGTCCTAAATGTAAGTCCTGAAAAGATACTGAGACAGTCTCACACACAGGGTTAAATGAGGTCAGAAAGGTGATGAGCACCTTTGTAAGTCTGAGTTAGGACAGCAATTACTTTCTGATTTTTGGCAGAATTACTTCTACAGTAAAGGCAGTATTATATATCCAATGAACTTTGCATCATGTTTTAAAGTGCTATTTTCTTACCATGTTGTACCAGGCACTAACAATATATTTCTCCTCCATGTCTCTTTGACTCTTCGTTTTCTCATATTCTTTCTAAAGAACAAGCACATGTAAACATATAAATATACAAGATAATTCAATCTAAACAAAATTCTACAATTATCTAAATCCACAGATACAATTGTGTATACATAGCAAGGCTCCCAGAAAATAAAGAATCAAAAAATCAGTATTTTATTGTACAGTATAGTAAACTACCTCTAATGAGTGGAATAGTCGGTCCTGTTCCTGGAGTTGATTTTTGAGAGCTTGTATTTCTGGCGCTGCTCCCTGATTTTGTTTAGGATCTAAGGTACGGATAACCTGCAGAGTAATGAAAGAAAAATGTAAAAAGTCTTGGGCTGTGGCCACAGCTCTGCAGTACACTGCTTGCACAGTAACTGCAGGGTACTGGATTCAATCCTTAGTCCTGCAGCAAGCAAATAAACAAACTAAACGTCTTAAAGGGTAACACTTAAGAAAGCAATTATTTTTGTAAAGAAAACAAAAGGATATATTACAAAAAAAAATGGATGTAGTATAAAAACAAAGGGGTATATTACAAAGATAATTTAAATTTATGAAATAACACTTTTTTCAACTTTTGAATTAAATGAAAATCATTTATGAGAAGGAATTCTGACTTAAAATTTCAAATACTGTTAAGTAGACACTACTGGCAGCTTTCCACTCTATCCTCTCTTCAGCTGGTTCTCTGCCTCTGGACAGGCATTCCAGAGGGTCCCAGCTGGCACAAGCCCATCCCTGTGCTGCTTCTTCTTTTTTTTTTTCGGTACCGGGGATTGAACTCAGGTCCTTGCGCTTGCGAGGCAGGTGCCGGAACCACTGAGCTAAATCCTTCGCCCCTCATCCCTGTGCTTCTATTTCCTCCACTGCTAATAGTTCAGACTGGGCATGGGATGCAATTCTGGCTGACCAACTAGACGGAGAGGTCTTTCTTTTTCTAATACTTTTACTATCAAAATGTTCAAACGATAAAAACAGACTTATCTTTAACCCAGATTCACCAATTGCTACAGTGCTATATTTGAGTTCTCTCTCTACACACACATATGCACTTGTTTTGGAGACTATTTAAAAATAATCCATAGACCTCATGACATATAACCCTTAGATACTCAACTGTGTATATCCTTAGATCAAGGATATTATTATTCATAATAACAATATATTATCATTGGTGAGAAAATTAACAATTCTATAGAAATGTTACTAACTGGTTCAAATCCACATTCCAACAAATATCCCTAAAATGTCTTTTAACTGACCTTCTTTGCTCCCAATCCAGGACCTGAATATCAGTGTGCTTGCTGCATTTGGTGATTAAGTGGAGCTTCTTAAAGCAGATTCCACGGCCTATTTTTATTTTCATGAGGCTTTTACCTCCAATTCTGGATTTACCTGATTTTCCCTGAAGATATTTTTGAATTTGTCCCAATAACCTCATTTTTCCTCTGAGCTGAAAGGTCTAGAAGATTGTTTAAATTCAGGTGAATTGTTACTGAAATGACACGCCACAAGGAGGCACCAGTCTTTGTGTATTAGTACCATGTGTTATTAATTTTAATTATTGGTTATGATGGTGATTGGAACTTATTTCCTACATAAAATAACATTTTCTTCTTAGGAATCAGTAACTAATCTCTGCAGAGACCTATTCTGAAAACTGCTTCTAGCTCAGGCTCTTTTTTTGTTCAAAGATTTTTGTTTTTCATACTGAATATATTCTATATTTTAAGATCTCATGCTGGGGGTGGTGGCACATGCCTGCAATCCTAGCACTTGGGAGGCTGAGGCAAGAGGATTGTTGTGAGTTCAAGGTCAGCCTGGGCCACATAATGGATTCAAGGCCAGCCTGAAGTACACAGTGAGACCCTGTTTCTAAAAACCAAAAAAACCCTCCCAAACCTTAGTGAAGGATGATCAGAAAGTGCAACGAGATACTCTCAAATTCATATTTATTCTTACACTTTTGGCTTTCTCTAAATATTTTTTATATCGTTCTTCCATTTGCTTCATTTCTTCTTCCTTCTTCCGTAAAGCTTCTTGTAATTCTTCAATTTTTAAGGCTGTAGATGGGAAATATTAAAGAGAAATTTATATTTTAACAACTTTTAAACTGTATTTTAATTGACAAATTTATAATAGTTAACAGATTTGAGAGGCTGTTTCACTTATTACCATATATAATTTTTTAAAAACACCAATTCAAAAAACTTTTTTTACAAAAAGCTTTCCTTTAATAAACAAGAAATCCAATATAGAACAGCATCAACTTATAAAGTTCAATTAATAGTTAAATGAATAAACAAAATGTCGTATATTTGTATAATGTAATACCATTCAATCATTTCTGATACATACTACAACAAGGAGACATAATGTTAAGTAAAAATAAAAGACATTATGCTAAGGGAAGTATGGAAGCACAAAAAGAGAAGTAATTCATAACTGTACTTATGAGGACAGTAAAATAGACTGACAAGAGAGGGAGAACTATCATTCAGTGAGTACAGAGTTCCAGTATGGACTGATGAAAAAGTTTTAGAAATGGGTAATGATGGCTGCATAATAATGTAAAAGGACTTAACAGCACTGGACAGTACAGTTAAGATGGTTTAAGTCTTATTTGTATATTTTACTACCATTAAAAAAAAAAGCAGGGCGGAGGGGGTGTGTGTTTCAACAGTAGAGGTCTTTCCTAGTATTGTAAAGCCCTGGGTTTGATTCCTCGTATTGCAAAGAATTTTTTAAAAAGTAAAAGTTTGTTCTTTCACCTAGTAAAAAAGAATAAGGCCAAGCTATCTACAGATGTAACTGTAAATAGATGTGTAAATTCAGCTTACTCTAAATAGATGTGTAAATTCAACTTACTTTAGAATCCACAGTTAAGAAAAATTTTTATGCATAACTAGTGTAACTAGTAATTTAAGACAAAAGGATATACTACTCTAGGGCCAGGGATTTAGCTCAGTGGTGCTGTGCCATCCTTGCAAAGGCAAGGTCCTGAGCTCGATCCAGGGTACGGGGATTGGGGGGTCAGTAAACTACTCTAAACAAGACAAATTCAATTGGTATGATAAGTAATAAGGCCTATATTTATATAAAATCATTATTTCTAGTGTAGTATATAGTTAACTCAACTTAAAGCTAATGCTATATAGAAGAAACTCACAGCTGTTGTTAAATCTGGGCTCAAGATCTTCAATAATGGCTCTCTTCTTCTGCAATTCATTATTTGCTTCATGTAGCTTCTCTCTGTAGCAAAATATGACACTGTATCACTACTGTCTCTGTATCTTTCTTCCACTTCAAATTAAAGAACCGCGTTCTTTATACTTGAAAGACACTTGCATACAAGTACTGTTAAGACAAAATATTTAATTTGAAACAGTATTGGTTTCTTTGTATGCGAAGGGGTGTTAAGAGGGGACAAGTATTTTTCTTGGAATAAGGATATTTTAACAGTTAAATTTCAAACTTTGTAGAGGTTTTATATTACAAATCCTTGTTGCAGAAAAAGATTAAGGAAAGAATACTCCACACCAACAAAAAGGAGTGAAGTATGAAGTACATGGTAATACATATAATTACATAAATAGATCTCACAGAATAATGAACAAAGGAAGTTAAAGGGCAATAATGTATGACTTTAGTTATATGTGAAGTTGAGGTGTCAAAACTAATGACAGGTGATAAAGATCAGCATTGTGGCAAATTTGGAAATGTAGTCAATCAAACAAGAGGGAGAATTAATTATGTTAAGCTGCTAGAAGTACTCTGCATATTGGCCCAAACTGCCTATGTATGTAGGTATACATTCATCAAGTCCTACATACAGGAACTTGAGATGTGTACTTGCTCTATCATATCTATATCTATTATCTATCTATCTATCTATATGTTATAGTTCAATGTAAAAGAATTAATGGAAAGCTACATTTCTTTCCAGGTATTTATATAGTATATGTAATTGTCCCTTGATAGTATTTATTGTGGCACTATGAGTAGGAAAAAGGGTGCAGAAATTGGAAGACACAGAAAAACATTAATAAAAATTGAGTACTTATTTGCATCTATTTCCGATCTTTTCAATGTATAATACTATAAAGCCTCTCCCAATAAATTATTTTTGAAAGTATAATGTCACATATACAACACAAATATATATAGTTTAAAAAATTAAAAATAACCAAAGCTGAGTGAATCACCATCAGGTTACAGAACAATTCATGCAAAACCTTAAAGTTACATGTCTCTCTGGCTCCCTCTTGGAAGTAATCAAGTCCAGAATTAAAATCATTCTCATGATTTTCATGCCTCTGCTATTAATACATTGCTTAATTTTGCTGTTTAACTTTATACATAATTATATTATTCTAATTTGTACCTTTTGGTAAACATTATGTTCTTGAAATTCATCTAGGTTGATTGTCAGCCCTAGTTTACACATTTTTTAAAATTTTATTTATTTTTTGATACTGGGGATTGAACTCAGGACCCTGCGCTTGAGAGGCAGGTGGCGGAACCACTGAGCTAAATCCCCGGCACTATATATTTTTTAAATTGCTGAATAGTGTCCTACTGTTTGAACACTCTATCATTTCCAATTAGTGGATATATGTATTATTTCTACTTTTGTAACTATAAAAAATATTCTTTCAGGCCGGGGATTTAGCTCAGTGGTTTCGCTGCCTGCTGCACAAGCGCAAGGACCCGAGTTTGATCCCCGGTAGCAAAAAAAAAAAAAAAAAATTCTTTCATACTTTCTTCCCTCTATCTCTTGGTTCACATGGGCAAATAATAGCTCTAGGAATCCTGGGAATAGATAGTGGAACTGTTATGTCAAAGAATAGGCGCATGTTAAAGTTTACTACGTTACTGATGCTAAAACTCCTACCAGAAGTGAATGAGAATTATCACTGTCTTCAGCAATACATACTGTGTCTGATTTTTTAGTTTTTACTAATTTGGTATGTTTAAAATGGTCTCCACTGTAGTTTTAAATTTGAATGAGATTTAACATCTTTTTAGATAGGTAGAGGTGATTTGTTGTGTTGAATTGTGTTTTCCAAAAAGATAATCTGAGAAGCCAGGCATGGTAGCTCACATTTGTAATCTCAGCTCTAGGTAGGCTGAGGCCAAAGGATTACTGTGAGTTCAAGGCCAGCCTGGGATACATGGTGAGTTGAAGGCCAGCTCGAACTACAGTGAGATCTTGTATCAAAAAAGAAAACAAATCAAAACAAAACAACACAACTAAAAGATAACATAAGTTCTAATCACGAGTATTTTGAATGCGGCATTATTTGGAAATTAGACCTTTATAATTAGTTAAGAGACGAGGGTGGGCCCTCTATCCAGTAACTAGTGTTCTTATAGGAAGGACGTATGAAGAAACACAGTAGTCTCCTCTTCTCTATGGTTGTTTTCCTTGGTTTCAGCTGCTTGTGGTTAATAACAGTGAAAATGTTAAATGCAAAATTTCAGATATAAACAATTGATAACTTTTAAATTACCTGCTGTTCTCAGTAGTGAGGAAATCTCATGTGGTCCTGGTGTGTGCTGCCTGGCAAGTGAATCATCCCTTGCTCCAGTGTGTCCACACTGTAATTGCTACTTACCTATCAGTCACTCATGAACCAATGTCACTGGATCAGTGTACTATTATATGTTTATAGCTTTTTATTAGATACTGTTGTTAATCTTTTATCAGGTCTAATTTATAAATTAAGCTTTATCCATGTATGTATGTATAGGAAAAGTAATATATAGAGGGTTCAGAACTATCCAGTGAGGCATCCACTGGGGGTCTTAGAAGGAACCCCAGAAGATGAGGGAGCTACTGTACAGAAAAAGGAATGTCAGGTGAAGATGGAGATAGAGACTGGAGTGACATATCCATAGCCTAATGGACACCATGGCCTTCTGGCAGCCACCACACACAGAGAGGCTAGCGTGGAAGTCTTTCTCAGAACCTCTAGAAGGAACAAACTACTGACATCGTGATTTTACTCTTCCAGGCCCCATAACTGTGAGAAAATACATTGCTGTTCTTTTAATCCAGCCCCAGATGGTGGTAATCTATTATGGCAGCTCTAAGAAAAAGAAAACAGACTTCATGTTTACTAATAAATCCTTTCTAATGAAGATTTCTACCATGTAAATGACTATAAAACAATCGTCAAACAGTAGTTTTATGAAATGATGAGTATTCTAGTTTTTGTCATAAAGGAATAAGAATTTTTTTTTTGTTACCAGGGACTGAACTCAGGACCTTGCACTTGCCAGGCAGCAGCAGGGTGCCACTGAGCTATATCCCCGGCCCAAGAAATGTAAAAAAAGACAGAATTCAATACTAACTTCTCAATCTACGTAACTTCTCATTCTCACAAAGGCTGGGAAGTAACTTTTTTCGTTCCTCTATTATATCAAAAATGTGCTTACTAAAAAAATAATAATGGGGGATCCAACATGGCTGACTAGAGGAGCAATCATGTCAGACGCTCAGAGAGGATTCAGTGAAGCCACAGGTCCTCTCTAGTGGGGGAAGGAATTATGCTCTGAAACAAAATTAATGAGAAAGATGATACATGCAGACCAAACCAAACATCTGGATCATTGAAGAGGGGAAATGGCACCATCGCTGCTGATTCATACTGCTATAGGACACCCCCCCCCCCGCCCCCCATGGGCAGCAGCCATTAAGAGAGCAAAGTAGCCTTGCAGAGGCTAATGTCCTGGGTCAGACTGAACAGAGCACCCTCTTATTCTCATCACCTCTCCTCAAAACACTGGAGAATGGTGCAGCCCAGAGGCATCCTCAATGGTGCTCGGCAAAGAGAAGGGACCCAGGGCCCGGGATTTAGCTCAGTAGTTCCGCTGCCTGCCTCGCAAGTGCAAGGTCCCACGTTCGACACCCAGAACCAAAAAAAAAAAAAAGAAGACGGCAAAGAGAAAGGACCCCGCACCCCACCCCATCTATCCCCAGCAGGAAACAAACAAAAAAAACCCCCAAGCAAATGGCACCCAAAGACTCCTGCCAACACTGTGGACCCCCACTTAAGAATGGACCCACTTACAGAGTCCTGTGGACATGATTATGCCTTAGGCTCAGAACAGGGACAGGCTCAGATTCTACCAGCTACCATAGCTGGAGAGAATTCTTGAGGCTGATTTAGTGTGGGTTTTGTGTGCAAAGGAAAAGAAGGGAAATTGGTGTGGTTTCCTGCAATCAGAACACAACTAAGGCAAGAAGGGAACTATGAACACTCAGGGTTTTTGGTGTAGCAGACACATGTGAACTGCATGTGCATTCTCTTGCTGGAGTATTTGATCTGAGTTTCTGATAGATTTTTTTCTTTTTGCTTCAGTTTAGTTTGTTTTTATTTTCTCTACCTCTTCTTGTCTATTTTTTTACAACTCAAGCTTCCATAGCAGTATTATTTTCTTATTTTTTACTTGTTTCTTCCACATTTTAAATTCTTCCTCTCAGATTTTTAGTTTGGTATATTCTGCTTTCTCTCAGTCACTCCTATTTTTTCTTGTATTAACTTTCGGTCCTCTTTATAGAATAGATTCCTTTTGGTCTTTGTCTTCATACCTAACCCATCTTCCCTTGCCTCTTTTTCATTTTACTGGAGCACAAATGTATCAACAGGTTCTGACAAGCTTGTGGCTTTCCTCAATCCCAAAGTACAGTTTCCTCTTGCTATATCCTATCCTCACTCCTACAAATATCAACACTAACCCTTCAATCTAACTGTAAGGCCTCCAACAGAATCTGACCTATGCCTGATTTTTTCACCCATTATTATTTCTCCTATTATTTCTCTCCTCTTGCTGACTTACACTCATTTCATCACCTATCCTTCCATCTTATCCCTTCATTTTCCTTCCACATTGCAGAATAATTGCTAGTAACAATGAAATATATGCTGCAAAGACTACTGATAAAAGGTAAAAGTATAAATGCAAGGTTTATCACATATAAGTGATGTATAATCAAATCAGTTGATTCTGTTATAACCAGAAATAATTCTTTCCTCAAAACACAGGGGAAGAGTCCAACCCACTTCTCCATATCATTTACAACTATTCCCACCCTACCTGACTTCAACTCTTAGCATCAAAAAATGGAGACAGGGCCGGGGATTTAGCTCAGTGGTTTGTCCGCCTGCTGCATAAGCACAAGGACCCGAGTTTGATCCCCGGTACCAAAAATCCCCACACAAACAAAAAATGGAGACAGACACACA